GGTTGAAGGAGCCAGGACTGTTTAGTTTGAGGAGGAGGCAGCTGAGGGGAGACCTCATCACTCTCTACAACTATTTGAAAGGACACTGTAGAGAGGTTGGTGCTGGTCTCTTCTCACAGGTAATTAATGACAGAACGAGAGGGAATGGCTTCAAGCTCCAACAGGGTAGATTTAGACTGAACATTAGGAAAGAATTTTTCACAGAAAGAGTGGTCGGGCATTGGAATAGGCTGCCCAGGGAGGTGGTTGAGTCACCATCCCTAGATGTGTTTAAGAGCCATTTAGATGTGGTGTTGGGGGATATGGTGTAGGGGAGAACTTTGTGGAGTAGGGTAGATGGTTGGACTCGATGATCCCAAGGGACTCTTCCAACCCAGACAATTCTATGATTCTATGATTCTATTAGCATGAAGAGAGACAAGCTATTTAGATGCCTTCATGCAGGACCATACAGTACCGATAAGAGCGGATCACACAATTAGGAATTTTCTTCAGGAGGACCCTTTTTGTTCCCTTCAATCCTGCCATACCCTTCGATTTAATCCACTCAACAGAGCAGCCCTAACACTTACCATGAAAGTTGCAATAGAAGTACCCATGGCAAGATCTGAGATTACCTAGGCACGAACAAAATGTATCTACAATAGACTTTTTGGTGGATGCTCAAGTGACAAACATCTTACATAAGGCAATGTGATACAGAGCAGGGTCATACAAAGAGACTGAATCCAAGTCATAGTATAGGAAACTCAACCCTAACCTCCTGCTTGCCTCACTTTGCAGTATTAAGGATTGATTTTATTACTTGGATGGGATTCTCACTCCCTGAATGAACAAAATCCCCCATTTACAGAAAGCACCTTTGTTTACCACAGTGTCTAATGACGTGCTATCCACATGAGAACACCTGCAGCCCTATCTCTGCCCTAAATATCTGCAGGTCCCTGACCTGAGGGAATCATAGACGGAATAAAATTTAGCAGCTTCTTCCCCAGGTCAAAATCCCAGCGCTTACAACAGGGAAGAAGGCAACCCATTAGGATGCTACATCTCAAAGAAACATGGATAATGAGACTTACTGCTCCATCTCCTTGGAACAAATGCCTGTGTGGCTTCCAGTGTTTGTGAGTAACAGGCAGTTGCTTATTTGGTTGGTACCTGAAAGCAGAAAACCTACCTACAACAGCAACTGTAAAACAGATCTTTTAAAATAGCCATCTACTCTGGTAGCCTTGGCTGAAGAACTCTTGAGTGTTTAGCTGAGCTTCCCACAGCAAACACAGAGGCATCAGATGGAAGCATAAGCGTGTACCCATCAAACTTTCAATGTGATTTAATAGCTTCTTACCAAATAGGTAATTACATGTTTTTCCATAAATGCTGGAACTGTGTACCAAAGCAGGCTACAAAGTTCACCCCCACATCCAGAAGACTTGGCCCAACTAGGCCCTGGACTTCCCAGTTAGGACTTGTTGGACATTTCTTAGCAGAATGGATCATGTCTTCCTGATGCCCAGGAGCCTTTCATGGCATGAATCACGAAAAGCGCAGGACTACAGCACAGTCCACATCCAGTCACATCCAGCTCTCCCGTGCCCCACCACAACCTTCATTCATCCTGTAAACCTACAGAGACTATATGCTGTTTCCTTCAACCTTACTTCACTAATTGGATTCTCATCCACCTTTTGTTGGCTTGGAGGATTGATATGTGAAAGTACTAATTAACCATCTGTACTGGTTTATCATCCTGAAAGCTTAGTGCCCATTGATGTGAAAGTACCGGTCAGACTGCTCAGGGAAAACACATCTAACACACAATATATTTTTGCGACTGAGATCTTAAAAATTTTGTAATCATTATAATGGCAATAATGAAGATGAAAATCATTGAGTTACTTCTGAACTTCCTGTATACAGACACCAAGATAAGAATCAGACAAGACTGCAGAAGATAAAACAATATCCAACCCAGAAAGTAAATAAAAAAAGAAAAATAAATAAACCAAGAGAAGCTCTTACTTTAATAGCAATTTATTATCATTAAAAGTAACAACAAGTAGGTTTAAATCCTTTGTCTTAAAAATCTAGTGTAACACACAGGTCACTGCTACAGTTCTACGAAACCTATGGCAAAACTGTATCCCCAAATCACACCGTTCTGCCTCATCCTAACAGACATCAATGGTGTGGGACACAAACAACACAGAAACAGATTGCTTTATACAGCACTTGTCATAAAGATGATCATCAGGCATCAAGATGCTTCGAGTTATTCTATAAGAGCTACTAAGTTTAACTTTAGCTTTCCCCTTTGTTAATATTGCTGGAACAATCAAATATTTCACACAGTTTTTGGTGAAGCTGTAAGAATCTTTTTAGAACTGTACTTTTCCCTGTATCTCTTCTTTGCTGCTAAAGTTTTCCTTTTCTTCTTTTCCCCCATTAGTCACACAGCTGCCCCATTTCGAGACAAAACCAGAGCGATGTTTGCAGTCACTTTCCACATAGCATCATGTATTTCTTTCATATTCTGAAGCCAGTGCTCAGCTTTAGCAATTACCTTTAACACTGCTGCCAGAACAACTTGGCAGTGCACAGTTCTGGAATACTACATGCTTATGTATTAATCTCCAGCTTCTTGGGAGCTCCACAGCTTCAGTTAAGCTCAAGGTAAGTACCTAAGATAGTGAACTTACAGCTAGTTCATATTTGTGTGAGCAGCAGCCAGATGCTGCAGGACAGATGCATCTTCACATTATAGCTGTTCACAAAAAAGCCTGAGCAAGACATAATACTGTTCATCAGTGGCTTGCAGGACCAAAAAAAAGTCTCCACAAGCAAGAACATATATTGGTGAAAAGGAAGGATGGTCCTAATTCTGTCAAACATTTAACATGTTGAATTTAAGCTTACAATTTTATTCAGTATTCAAAAGTAAGCAGAAGCTTCTGAGGGAAACCCTTCTGGCTAGCAGAAATGCAGTGAAGGAAGAAACAGAACACAGGCAAACTTCATATAGCTACTGAGATGTGGCTTTTATGTGACTTCACAAGAAGCCCCCTGAGATGGATATTTCTGCATGAACTTCACAGTAGCATGTGGAATTGGGGAGCTCAATGAAAACAAACTGGTAAGCAGCTTCATGGATATCTATATCCACTCTGGATTTAGACTCATGGGAAAAAGTATAAACACAATCATAGGGTAAACATATGGAGGAGGACTAGATCAACAGATTCTATCAACAAGCTCCAGTTTTTCCACAACAGCAGTTCACTCTTCTCTGAGCAGACACACAAGTTAAACTCCAGGAGAAAAGAGGGTGTTAAATTTACTCAATTAAAAATACCTTTCTGGAGTTTGCTCTCAGCTGTATCTCTTGGGAAAAAAACCAAAACCAAAACAATGCTTAAAGGAAAACTGCAAAATGTTGTTTTACCTAACATCCTAAACTACTATCTTGCTTTGTAAATGTACCTAACAGTTTATGAATATCCTGTGCTTACTCAATAATATCTTAATGACTTGTAACTGAGGTAGCCACTACACCATTACCATACATTAGTGATGCCAACACAAAGTGAATAGCTCAACTGAGATGCTCAAGAACAGTTAGTTTGCCAAAATAGCATTTGCTTCCAAAACCTGTCATTTTCTGTCTTGCTCTCCTCCACCCACCCTTGTTTCACTTCCTGTTTCTCCTCTTGCCCATCTCTAACAAATAGCAACAAGGGAAAAATTAGCTTTCCATTTAATTTGAAATACGTCTTTGGATTTTCAAAAGCAAATTTTCAAACGAAGAATCGGTGAATTTACTTTTAAATGAATGTCCCAACCACTGACATGTCAGGTCCCTGCTCTATCATCTTCCTGCACATGCCTAGGTGCTGTGGAAAGACACCTGCATGGGCAAAACACAGAGGTTGTGAAAAGGTCCCTTTCATTGTAAGTCTCACCCCATATATGTAAATGTGCAAAATCACCTGTCTAATCACTGTCTTTCAAGTGCTCAGGAAGTTAAAAGAAAATGGCAATTATAATTCCTCTAGCTAAAAAGTACCTAGATCCATCATATCCTTGACCTTTCCTAGTGGTATTCATTTCTTAAAATGAAAATATTTGCAACTTACTTCTGTAGCTATGATAGCCTATATTCAAATTCAACATTAAAAAAAACCCCAAAAAATCAACTTCAAGGATAATTATTACCCGGGTATTTTTTCCAGGATTTTTTTGGTGGTCCCTCATCACAGATCTTTTTCAAAGTAATTCAGAACCTCCTCTACCCACATTCAAATCAACTAACCAAACAAAAGAGAAAATCCTAATTGAAAATCAAACGCCCCAACATCTAAGTTGTTTAATACTTGTATTGCAGAATGTACATTCAAGGTAAAGTTGTGTAGTGTAAACATCCAGTTCTGACTTCTTTTCTTCAACCACTATCTAAAATTTGAGGGTTGTCTCCATTGGCTAAATGCTTTAATGCAACTAAACAAATGCAAACTCTCACTTCAGATACACTGCATTGACCAAAGCAGCATAAAACCCCTGCTTCCAAGATATATACCTACCAAATAAATAAGCCTGAAGAGAAAAAGCATGCTCCCATTTAAAAATAGAGTACTAAGCAGTCTGGAGTGCATAATACCAGTTTCTCTATCTAGATCAGATGCTGTGTGCATATTCCCAAATATAAAAATAAAATTGTATGAATTTCATGCAACTGTACATAGTGCAGTTCAAGCAACACTGAGGTGTTCTCCTTGTTTTTGTGAAGCATGTGGACAACAGCAAACTGCAGTGTGATAACTGTAATGTGTTCTTTGGGTTTCTTCTTCAACAGAGACGCACAAAGCTACTTCTATTTTAAAAAACTCTAGCCCACAACACGGAGATATTAAACAACTTAGTTGTGATAACTGTACTGTGAAGAATTTCTAAATTTTCTTATACTTGTCTACATTATCCAAACGGATTTTTTGTTAGAAGTCCTCTACTAGAACTCCTTTTTCACAAACCACACACCAAAAAAGGTGTTTTCTGCTTTTATTACATAAAAGGTTCATCAGGTGGAAGTAGATGAAGGTAGTTTATTAATTATAAATCTAGCCTCATCCTTATGAAGCATATGTAATACACAAATTAAAGATTCCAGTTAAGCATCACCACATACTAACCCTTCATATTTGTATAAGATGACCAGCTATGAAATTGTAACTACTGAAACTGTACACAGGTGCCTTGCTATATCATACTTACGTTATAGTTCTCTTTTTGAAACATTCCACAACCACCTCTGCATTTGGGTCATTTTCGTCCATTTCATCTATTCAGCCGCTGTGTTACCACTTCTCGGTACATGATAGAAATATATATCAGCAGTAGAAAAATGACAAAGAAATCATCCAAGAACCCCAGAATTCCAAAGAGGGCTTCAGGAAGAAAATCCAGAGGTGAAGCCAGGTAGAGCAAGGCTCCAAGCAAGCAGAGGAGTATTCTGATGCGGAACATCCAGAAGAGGCCTCCGACAGAAAACATCTCCCTGAAAGCATGCCGCAATAAAGTGGGCAGATCCATAATTCTTTCCATAATCTATGGAGAAAGAACCCAAAAGTTAGTATTTTGTTTTAGCAGCAGGCCCATGCTAAATGGGTGTTTTTTTCAGTCTGAAGTTTCTATTACTACATTACAGCTTTGGAATCTGTTAGTTTCTGAGAATTAAAACAAAAAAAACCAGTAAGACAAGACTTCCTGGATTTAGTTTTGCTGGGTAAGAAGTCAGATTTAGAATACATATGTTTTCAGGAAACAGTCTAACTGTGTTATTCTGTACTGTAAAACATACATTTAACTCACTACAAAGTCCATTGGCATCTATTAAGAAGGAAAAGCAGTGACTAGTAGAGTAATGACTGAGTAATAATAAATGACTGAGAAAGTGAGAAACAGCGAACAGGTTAACTGGAGTGAAATATTGATCAGAATGGAAGACAACTAGCGACTGCAAGAAAAAAACAATAAGTAAAGGAGAATAGCTTGCAGTTCTTCAGAAACACAACACCCCCCTCCCCTAGCGTATAACCAGTGATTCACATAAGTTTGCAAAGGATGGATCAAGCTTCAAAGTAAACTAAAGAAACTTTAAATGAATCCATCCCTGGCTCCTTTCCATTTTTCTACTATGATTCTGTCATTTTAGTGAGGGACTCCTCAGTAGAAAACATTCAGGATTTTGTTGTGAGGCATAGGGAGGGGTGAACTTCAAAAATTTTTTTATACTGATTCCTCTTCTACTGTATGCAGGTACTACACAGAGCTATGACAATAAGTTATTGCCACGGTTGAAAATGTTCTCTAGAAAGAATTTTGTATATGGCTAAGGCAACACACTGTGTATAAATCAAAGACAATTTATCTAATCTGATTAGGGCTTTAATGCAGGCTTCTGGCATGACCTCAGACAGGTTAGTAGGGACTAGACACACAGCCCACAGAGAAGTCCAATGGAGCCTGAAAGGTAGCTTCAATCTATTCTGGATCAGAAGCGTAACTGTTTCATGGTTTAGAACATGAAAAAAAAAGATCCCATCTCACACCTCTTTTGTCTTGTTGGATTGTAAATTTTTCTTGCTAATGTTTTGTTAGTATTTCCAAACCCAATGAACAGATGAAGACAAGCAGGGAAGCTACTAGTATGCATGTGTGTGCATTTCACCTTGTGGATCAGAACATGCACATAGAAGAAAGGCTCACAAGGCTGAATTTCTGAAGTTCATAGAACGTCAACCACCTCTCTTTGTTATTTATCAAAAAAATCCTGTTTTCTTCACTCAGAGAGCAGAATAAAGACTGTAATGTAATCTCAGAGGAAAATAAAAAAATCAAGACAGCATATAGTGTGAAACCTGAGGAAGAAAGGGACAAAGTAGAACTTCATATTCTTCTAATCAATGTAAAGAGATCAATCAAGTGAATATTCTTCCTTGCAGGTCATGTATTTCATTAAGTACTTTTACTGACTAATTATTAATCCTTTCAAATTAATGAGTCACAATTAAAAAAGAGCTTAAGACATGAATAGGGAACTCAAGACTTATTTTCACAAAAAAAAAATAACGCAAGTTTCCACGCATTTCCACAAATTACAAATAAATATTTTCAAGGTTGTGGGTCTGCCCTAACTACATCAATATTTTAAGGAAACAAACATGAATTTCCTAAGGAAAACATGCATAGTCCCTAAGCATTATGAAGAGAAAATTCATATCCCAGTGTGGAAAAAAAGGGGAAAAAAAGAAATCACAAAAATACTGTTAATCTTCCCTAAAATCACTGACTCCACCCAAATTTACCCACAACTTACAGATCTGGGCTGTCCTGAAAATCTCCGATTGTAATCATTAACATCTTGAAATACTTGGGTTGCATCCTGCTGATCTTCACCAAAGAGGGGTAAAAACAATGTTACCTAGGTAGAGCAGGGAGATTTTGTTACATGTCCAACTGTCTTTTACATGCAGGGGCATTGTGAAGTATAAATGAAATCAGTAATCTTCAGTTAACTACATGGAACAAACTTTGTTTTAGTTGAATATGTAGTAGCAAAATAAAATGAAAACTACTAACATGGTTACTGCTTCTAAGTTTTACCAAATTCATTGCTTACAACTCTTTACAGAATATTAATGTTTAAAAAGATTGTTAAAAACAAGCATAAGAACACTCCTTCTAAGAGAGGCTTACAGGTAATTTTTTGAAACATATAAGTGGTTTATGTTTCAGAAGTGCAACAGATCATTTGGAGAATAAAGTTAATTTACCAAATTAACATAGTTTTGTTTCTTCAACTGAAAATCAAATAAAGCAACCAATAAGGCCACTCTTCTTCCATCTTTAGAATGGCCTTGCATTTCAGCAAACAAGAAGCAAAACTCACACTTTTCAACATGGACCACACCAAGACCAAGGAAGATAATACAGAATAATAAGCTAACAGAAAAAGCTCTTTTGTAAGCACAGAGAATTCTGTTATGTTCTGGGTTAGCTTTCATGCAAACACAGAAAAATATGTAAGGTCATATTCACATATATGTTATGTTATCTGTCTGTATAGGAGTTTCTGAAAACGTTTGGAATGCGTTTGGAAGCATGTTCAGGTATAAAATGCAGATTATCATAGGAAATAGAAAATGCACAGCACTTCAAATTATTACAGTCCTCAACAGCTGCCTCTGTACCTGGCCAGTAAATATATATCTTATATATGTGCAGCAGTCACATTTAGCAAATGACAGCCCAAGTAGATCTACATTAAACTCCTAGCCCTGCCACAAACCTTCTATATGACTCATGTTGTTCATGAGTACATAATTCCATCCCTATTTATAAATCAGACCTACTTTTCCTACTTCACAGGGTGAGAATGAATGCATAACCATGCAAGCAGTACCACCCAATTTACCTGTTACTCAGAAGAAGACAGACAAATATCTGTCTAAGCAGAAACATTAAAAAAACCCAATAACTCATTTTCACCTTTCCCATGTTTCTCACCTTTATTTTTTGTGTCTCTCTCCTCACTGGCTATGCTTTGATATATACTAATTCTTTCACTAGTCATACCTATTTTTCTTTCCTTCCTCTGTGTTCTTACAATCATTTGTCCTGCTGATACACACAATCAAAGCAGGATATAATGTATGTGCAAGTGCATGAAGCATGTTATATAATTTAACAGAAGTTAATAGCTCTGTAGTTTGTGCACTGTTAAAGTAAAGATGTAGATTTGTTAAAACATACACTATAAGAGTCAGAAATCCCTAAGTGTTAATGAGTTGCAGGGACATGTTTCAAACTGACAATGCAAGTAAGTTGCGTAGGAAGTAAGTTAATGCTTGCTCTACAAAACTCAAATTAATAATACATACAAACTAAAAATAGGGACAAAATAAGAAATTGACAGGGGTAGGTTTTTTTGGCAGGGAGAGAAGGAAGGGAGAGGATACTTCTCAGAAACAAGTAGTATACTGACTACTGGCAGTCTTCCACAACAGCCAGGTCTTTCAAATGCAAGTTCTGGTAAAGAAGTTGTATCACATCCCAAACAGAAAGCATGGAAAAATCAGTTAAATTTTTACAATTTTCTGTTTTCATATACTCCTTTACAGTGAAATAGCTGAGTTATCAGTGCTGTTCTCTTAAATTTGAGTTTCAGGAATAATCTGTAATTTTTCAGCTATTTGGAAGAGCAAAAATTTCAAAAAAACTTAATGTCTACCATCTACATCGCACATATCTATATTCTTTGAGTTTCTCAGACTTCTTCTTCTGTCAGTCTCACTACTGCAGTTCACATATAAATGCTTTTTTGGTGAGCTATACAAGATAGCCAAACTACGATGTCCATGATTACTTAAAATATTACCGTTTGTCTGCAGATTGGACAACGGATGGCACCAAGCCATGAGCCATACCTCCAGTAGGCAATAATGCAGGAACCTGATGAAGGTAAGTTACAGACATTTAAACTTCTGAGTTTAAACACCCATTGCATGAAATAATACATTACACACCAAGGAAAACAACAGAACTGTACAAGCAGTTAGGTTAAATCTATCTTTTCTGGTGTAATTTTGTATACAGCAATCACTGAAGATACCAATAACCTATGTGTTCAAATTCATTGCTTCAATTTCTCATTGCATGAGAAAAATCCTGAATAGGTTGAACTGTATCATTAATTTTAAGGTATTATTGCCTGAAAAGACAGACAATTTCTTAATCATTAACTGAAGAAGCAAATAGTTAACAATTTTACCAGTTCAAAACTTAGAAGTGACAAAAATGTCAAGAGATGTAAAATTTATCCTAAAAACCTGGCTTTATTAGAGTTTCAACAGACGAAGGGATATATAAAAATCTGAATGCTTCAACTGTTTTCCAAATCTGTAAATTTCTTCATTGAAATGATGAGGCATGATATGCACTGTATACTCCATAAAACTAGATGAATGCAGTGAAAGAATCCTACTGGGATCCTGAAGGAGATGAAGCAAAATGCTGTGTAGGGCATTTATATATACATTTGAGTAGCTGGACCTCAAAAAAAAAGGCAGAAACTTTAAGCATTGTTAACTTAGTCTTAATTCTTCAGGACTTCCAAGAAAAAAACCCCACACTCTGAGATATAGATAATACCAAGCAGAATTTTTTACCCTTTCTAAACCAGTTTTTTTAAATGTTATATTTCCAAGTGTTTTTCAGCCTCTTCAGTTTTTTACTAAGGGGAAATGAGTTACACTCTCTGTCCGTCACATTTTTAAATTAATGGCAGTTTCAATCCTGATAGCATAGAAAAAAAATGCAGCACACTCTCAAAGTGACTTTTTATTCACAAATGTATTTTCTCAACAATTTATATAAAAAAATATTTCTAATGCAGACTAGAAGATAAGCAGTTAAAATCAAACACAGCTTTGCATTAGGGTGACTGTACTAGTGTCAAAAGTTTGTATTTCTGTTCTGGTTTTATCTTTGTATTTCTGTTGTGGTTTTATCTTTGCACACGGAGCTTTTCTTGCTTACCACAAAAGAGATGTCCACAGTTTGTTTCTATAGGGAATGTAGCCTGTTGCAAACACACTGGACAGGACATATCTGTATAGAAGTGATGTCTATCACCAGCGGAAGCATCCTGCTAGAACAGAAGAGAAATGCAAAGTGTTAGAAATACTATTTTTATATGTCTACTGAGTTTAAAAAAATAATAATAAATCCCGTGTTCATTTACTAGAAGTCAGTCAAATGCAAAACTATGTGAAATGAAAGAAACATTTTTAAATTCAAAAATCAAACATACTGAAATGCAAAACCTGATTCACTAAGCAAATTCTTCTTCTGACAAGCCCATTATTTTTCCATCATCTGTTATATAAGTGTGTGCTTCAATCCAGTTAAAGACCACAAAGACAGACCCTCATTGGTCCTTCACATTACATTAGGTTAGACATGCTGCAGCATGAATAACAACTCAGATCTAGACTATTACTTCATTATCCTAAGTAGTTCTGTCCACAGCTAGGTAAATAAACTACATTGCTTAGCAGTTGCAGTATTTACTGTTCCCAAGCCCAAGCATAGACATCAGCTTGTGTGTGTCACGGGCATGAAATGGTTTTTCTCCCCATTTTGCCAAATTTGTTTTCCACATAAATATGCACTGCAATTAAAAATATGTCATTACTTCAAGTACTATGATGAGAGACTGTCCTCAGTACTCTCCAAAAGGATGGCTTTTCACTCTAGAGCTGGGACTTACCAATTGCCAGTAACCCAGCCTAAACTCTCCTATCCACTCCTCTACATATCAGAACTGGATGCAATCATAGAACCACAGAATGGTGCAGGTTGGAAGGACCTTTAAAGGTCACACAGTCCAATTCCCCTGCCACATGTGGGGACATCTGTCACTAGATCAGGTTTTTTAAAGTCCTATCCAACCTGACCTTGAACACTTCCAGGGACAAGGCATCCACAACATCCCTGGGCAACCTGGACCAGTGTTTCACCACCCTCATCACAAAAAATTTCTTCCTTATGTCCTGCCTAAACCTAACCTCTTTCAGTTTAAAACCATTGCCCCTTGTCCTGTCACTAAAGGCTTTGATTAAAAGTTTCTCTCTGTCAGTCTTTGTTGCCTGGCTCTTGTTGCTGTTTCATTGTTCTGTTACATAAAGTTTATCAGTCTAAACATCTAACCTCTGTCCTGTGGCAGCAAGCTGTACTCCAGATTTCCTTTCCTTTGCCACTAAGTTCCCAAGAACATTGCAGGAAGCACACAATATAATCTAACATACTCCACCTTGTGGCAAAAACTTGTTTAAAAAGGAATGAGTCAAGTATTTGATTTTGATTACTTTACTTATTCATAAAAAAAGGCCTACGTTATCTCATTACTTGGTAAATTTCACGGATGCCTCTGTACCGTAAGTAAGCTTCCATAACTTTCAAGCTTCTTCCAGAACCTCAGAGAAGTCAACACTATCCCAAATCAGATAGTTGTATGATGCAAACAGCACAGCACCTGCTCAGTTTGAAGCTGCTGACGAAGAGCTCGCACTAACTCTTGATTTTCTGGGTGTATGTTCTGATGTTCATTTCTGTGAAAGGAAATATAAGCAATAAGAAAAACTGAACACTGACCCAACACTGAAAAATAACTCATTGAAAAAAAATGAAACTTGAACAAAGGTCAAAAATAATTCTTTCCTGATATAAAGGATTTTAAAGGAAGTACATAAATAATTAAGGAAACAGGATATTTATTCGAGATCCTAAAGTTACTCTGGACACTTAAAGCTGTAGACCAGCAGCATGATTTTTCAGGGACAGTCCATAAAAAATCATTAAATAATGTTAAAACTAGATTTACATCTGAAACAAAATTAAGCTATTAACCTGCAAAAAATCAAGTTGCTTGAAAGCTTTCATATTCATCATGAAGAAATATTTTTAATTTTTGTCTCCACTGCTAGTTTTTGTACCATTGGTCTACTTTCTAATTTCTTTTTTTTTTCCACTCACTGCCCAAGTTGAAAAATCCTAATTATTTCAATTTTATCTGCTATGTGAAAGATGAAGACATAACATTTACATAAGAAGGGGTAGGCAAACTCTTAGATTTAGAATGTTGAATTTATGTAACTATCAGCAGACTGGATATAAAAAGAAATCATTCTTTTTAAATCAATCTTTAAAAAGAAAGACTCTACGGGCAAGAAAACTACAGGTTAGAGATGCTGAGGGGAATCACAGGGAAGGGACTCACTGAAGAAAGAAGGCTGGGTATATTACAAGTTTGAAATTCAAAAGCACAATGGCAACAGAATTGGAATTAAAAATGAAGCTGAGGTGTTGAGGTACAATAAATATGAGTCAACACCATCATATTCAAAACTGAATTTTTATGCTTTATTTATTCATATGGATTTCACTCAACATTCACTCAACATGTGCTCAGCAGTCTGCTCAGTGTAGTTGAGGTCTCAGCTGGATTCTGTTTTCCTTTTTGGGCTAAATGCATAACAAAATGTAGAGAAGTTGAAGGAAGTTCAGAAGAGAATAAGAACTACTGCCCACATTTTTTAAACATCAGAGAAAGAGTGAAGAAATGTCAGTTCATATAGAAGACCGCTCATGGAGAGAAAAGAGGATAGGATAAGTCTTTCATTCTATAAATATAAGCAATTATTTCCCACAGTTATCTAAGGTTGGTGGAAAAACATTTCTCACTGCTAAGTGTACAAAATCAGAAAAGGTTACCTCAGGGTATTGTGATCTATCATTAACTAAAAGTTAAATCAAAAACAAGGTTGCACTGCTTCCAGAGATGATCTAGGCAAGCTGATCCTCTGTCAGGACTGATGGCTGGACTGGTTGAATTTTTAGGACATATTCTGGCTGCAGTTCTATTTACATAATTTCCTCAATGGCTCTAGGAGCTTCTGCAATATTTTCCTTCATCTGATGTGGGCAATCATAATACTGCATTACTGATACCTTTAACATTTTGTCTCCTTCATTCTTTCTTCAAAGAGGAACAAACTCCATATTTTTAATGCAAATAATTACATGGTTATCTGTAAAAAGTAATTTATTTAACACTATTGTGAGTGTCATATATATGAAAGTTATACAATGGGAAGCCTTTCTTGCCCACCCTGAGTCTCCATGAGTCAGATTTTGTGGATGTTGTCTGTCATACATATTACATGTATAAAAGTTTGTTGGATAAAATAAATTTTCACAGTCTCACTTGTAATGTGACAACCTACTCACAAATTAAAGACGACGGAAAAAATCTGGCTGCATGTTATCAAAATTTATAACTCAAAGACATATAGGCTTTGCAAAAGTATTTTATAGTGACTAAATGAAACATCTGCAACTTGGTATATATGTTAATTACTGCTAATAAGTTTCTCCACCAAAAGCACAGAGACCTTTAGCTCATGGACCAATGTGATGCTTCATTGAGTTCTCCCTGCTGGAAACAAGCACAGCAACCACATCCCTTAACAGTTCTTTCCATATTCCACTTCTGCCTCCTAAAAAATCTACTGCAACATACACTCCTTGCTGCCTACTTTCCCTTTTATTCAGTTCCTGCAATCTTATTCCATTACCTTAAGCTTTCTTTCATGTATTCATATCTAGGTTCCTACCCAACTTAAGTATTTCAGATGTTGCATGCAGAAGTATGGGTGGCAAAGAGACTGGGGTAATGGAAAGGGTATAACGAACACACAGACCACTGTATTGCCTAAGATAACTAGGGAAGAAAAAGAAAATATTCCTTTTCTCCTCCACTTATGCTTCAGTGCTAAAAAAATAAAAATTACTGTACTGATTTTTGTACTGATTTTCTACCATACTGTGCAAATTTTGATGGAGACAATACAAAGGAGGTAGAGGGAAAATGCTGCTGAACAGACAATTTCACAAGGTACCATAAGGCACAGTGGAGACCTAAGAGAATGCTGATAGGATTTTCACTAGTCAGTCATACAATGCAGAAGTAAACAAGCTTTAAGACTTACAAAGTATGAAAGCTTTGTGTTCCAGTTTGTTTGCCCCTCCAGAAAATAAACCAGAAGATCATGTAACAGGATTCTCAGACAAACTCTTTACTTAACTCATTACACTGCAGAGGTAGTTAGTAACTAGCCCTTTTCTCCCTCCCCGAGTAACCCTTCATCATCTATGTATTGTCTCCCTGAACTCCAATCCTGACTGAACTCCAAGCTTTCCCACTTCTGGTTTCTTTTGTAGCTTGCTCTCAAATACCTCCTGCCCTGCTAATACTTCTCATATGGACAGATCCTCCTCAGTAAATTCCATAATGCCAATGTGTCACTAAAATTGAGTTCTCTTAGTTGTTAAAACTCTTTTGTGTTCAGAAATGTACAGATATCCATTAAAAAAAAAGAGCTGATCTCAAGCTCAGACTTATTTTCCCAAAACACAGAGGCTAAGATATTTGTTATGTTGCAAAGAAAAACTCTGAAATGAAAAATAAGCTTTGATTACTTGACCATTAAAGTTATTGAGTTCAGAACTTAGCATTTAGTTTTATGGAAAGCGTATCAGGAGTGATGTATCCCAACAAAGAAGTAGTCATGCAAAAAAGCCAGGAGGCCTGTATGGATGAACCCTTGTTCATGGACACACTCAAAAGCAAAAAGGAGGCCTACAGAGGGTGGAAGCAAGGACAGGTAGCCTAGGAGGAAGATAGAGAAACTGTCCAAGCAGCCAGGGATCAGGTTTGGAAAGCTAAAGCCTGGATAGAATTAAACCTCATCAGAGACATCAGGAGCAACAAGAAAATCTTACATGTCAATGATAAAAGGAAGACTAGGGAAAATGTGGGCCCTCTCTGGAAGGTAATAGGCGACCTGGTCACCCAGGATATTGAGAAGGCTGAGGTACCAATGACTTTTTTACCTGTCTTCACCAGCAAAGGCCCTCACCAGACCGTGCAAGTCACAGAAGGCAAACACAGCAGCTGTGATAATGAAGAACTGCTCACTGTAGGAGAAGATCAAGTATGAAATCATCGAAGAAACCTGAAGGTGCACAAGTCCATGGGACTTGATGAAATCCACCCACGGGTCCTGAGGGAACTGGCAGATGAAGTTGCTAGGCCACCTTCCATTATATTTGAAAAGTCATGGGAGCCTGGTTTAGTTTGCACTGACTGGAAAATGGGAAGCATAGCCCCCCTTTTCAAAAAGGGAAAAAAGGAAGACATGTGGAACTATATGCTAGTCAGTCTTACCTCTGTGCCCAGCAATATCATGCAGCAGATCCTCCTGGAAACTCTGCTAAGGCACATGGAAAATAAGGAGGCCATTGGTGACGGCCAACATGGCTTCACTAAGGGCAAGTCATGCCTGACAACTTTGGTGTCCTTCTATGACGGGGTTACAGCGTTGGGGAGAGCAATAGACATCATCTACCTGGACTTATACAAAGCGTTTGACACTGTCCCACACAACATCCTTGTCTCTAAGCTGGAGAGCCATGCATTTGATGACCACTTGGAACTGGCTGCATAGCCACACTCAAAGAGTTGATGTCCAAGGTCAATAGTTTGATGTCCAAGTGGAAACCAGCGAGGAGTGGCATTTCATCAGTGATCAGTACTGGGACTGGTACTGTTTAACATCTTTGTTGGTGACATGGACAGTAGGACTGAGCGCGCCCTCAGCAAGTTTGCCAACACAACCAGGCTGTGTGGCGTGGTTGACACGCTGGAGGGAAGAGATGCCATGCAGGGGCACCAGGACAGGCTTGACAGGTGGGCTCGTGCAAACCTCATGAAGTTCAACAAGGCCAAGTGCAAGGGCCTGCACGTCAGTCGGGGCAATCACAAGAACAAATCCAGGCTGGGCAGAAAATGGATTGAGAGTAGCCCCGAGGAGAAGGACTTGGGGGTGTTGGTTGATGAGAAGCTCAACATGAGCCAGCAATGTGAGCTCTCAGCCCAGAAAGCCAGCCGCATCCTGCACTACATCAAAAGAAGCGTGCCCAGCAGGTCGAGGGAGGTGATTCTACCCCTCTACTCTGCTCTCATGAAACCCCACCTGAAGTACTGCATCCTGCTTTGGAGTCCTCAGCACAAGGACGTGGACCTGTTGGAGTGAGTCCAGAGGAGGGCCACGAAGATGATCAGGAGGCTGGAACACCTCTTCTATGCAGACAGGCTGAGAGAGTTTGGGCTGTTCAGCCTGGAGAAGAGAAGGCTCCGGGAAGACCTTACAGCAGCCTTCCAGTATCTGAAGGGGGCCTACAGGAAAGCTGGGGAGGGATTTTTCATGAGGGCATATAGTAATAGGACAAGGGGTAATGGCTTCAAACTGGAAGAGGGTAGATTTAGCTTAGATATTTGAAGAAATTTTTCACTATGTGGGTGTTGAGGCACTGGCACAGGTTGCCCAGGAAAGTTGTAGATGCCCCATCACTGGAGGTGTTCAAGGCCAGGCTGCAAAGGACTTTGAGCAACCTGGTCTTGTGGGAGGTGTCCCTGTGTGTGGCAGGGGGGTAGGAACTAGATGATCTTCAAGGTCCTTTCCAATCTAAACCATTGTATGATTCCATGATATTAAAGTCCACTGTTTCCCAGCTTATTAATTTATAAACCAATTTATAAAAGTCAATTTATTCAGGTTTAGGGTTTGGGGGATTTTTTTTGGAAGGAGACTGCAATTAGAACATACATTGGAAGATTATAGCCAATCTTAATTGTGGAGTCATTATTGACAAATCTGTACTTTGTAACAAAATATGACACACCAGCCATATATATTGTGAGTTCAGCCATCTTCAGTCCTAAGGAACGACGAACATTATTCAGTTTGATCATCTGAAGATAAGGAAGAGTTAAACTTCACTTTTGAGAAATACATCAGTTCATTCTAACTGTGAATTAAATTATGAAACTCTGCTAAGCATTATTTAAATAGAGTAAGTGATCAAACAATCATTTCCTTTATGTCACAAAATCACAGTTGTTTTATATGCCAATGCAAAAATTTGTTGAGAGTTAGAATTTTACAAATGCAGTTATGTTGATTAATTCCTGTCAATGTATTCTCACCTTAAAAGCATATATACCAGAGCAGCAATGAAAGTGAAACTGAGCACAACTGCCACCAGCACCTGGTCACTTATTCCTTCTATAACTGAATCATTATCTAGCTTCAAACTCTGAACTTCTGCTTGGTGACTGGCCATCACAGCTCTAAAATATAAAAAGAAGCATATACATATAAAAAAATCATACACACGCATACATATATTTTAAACATAGTTAAAAATAGTTTGTATACACATCTATTCATACACACAATAAATTCCTGAAGCAACAGATTAGTCATTGCTGGTGGAAAAAATGGTAAATGAAGAAGGAACAGATGCATTTTTACCAAACACTGAGCTTGCTGCAGAGGACTGCAAAATATTTGTCTTGTGCAGTAGCAAACAAGTCTCAAATGACTCTGTTGTGATCGAAAGGGTTTTTTTTAAACATCAGACAGATACTTTACCTGGGAATCCTTACCAGATAACTTATCTATAGGCCACTGCTGAATTAGACATATTATAAGGACATTTAAAAAAAAGTATAAAACCTCTGCATTATCATGAATTTTAGCTATTACACAACACATCATTGCTGCTAGGCTGAGACAACACAATTTTTAGAGACCTAATAATTTTAGAAACCTAACTTTCACCACTTATGTGAAGAAAGAAACAAGGAACTTTGGGGTTTAGCTGTTTTTAGAGTGTTAGGTGCCCATCTGGATACACAGGAATCACCCAACACACTTTATATTTTATCTGTCTTTTCTATGCTTTACCATCCTTCAGCTGGAAACATGGGAAAAACTTGAAAGAAAAAGCGTATTATCATGCTCCCCTTGTTAGACTCATTTGTTTTATGTTAATTTCACATAGGCAACAATCAGAATGACTTGCTAACACTAACATTTATTAACCTACAGCATTAATCTACAGCTGGAGACAAGCAAAATGAAATAGTATCCAACACACTGCTAAATCAAGAAGTGAAATGAATTACAGCTGTGAATATTATGAAACCAGGTAAGTGAAGCTAACTCTGGTACATGACCAAAAAAGTCATATTGAAGTTGCGTCCATACACAATTAAATTATTTTTCATATAGAGCTGACATAAAATCTCAGCATCAGTTTATCAGGTCAGGTAAGACTGGGTATCATTTTCTTCCTGATACAGTGTGTGTGCCTGAAGCTTGCAAGCTTTCATCAGTGTTTCTACTTCACAGCTTGTGTCATTTTTTAATTTGAACCGTGCTGTCTAGCAAACACCACCAGACACTGCCTGGCTCTGAATTAATTGCAAAACTGAAATGGAATACAAGTCATCAGGATTTTAGTGGATACCTGTAATGATTACCCTGGCAAGACTTCAACACGCCAGCGTACCGGTAATATAAAAGTGTCATCCTTCCATAAGCTAACTACTCTCAGAGCTTTTCTTGTACAAGGCGTGGAGCTTTTTCCAAGCCTCTTTACATTTGTGGGAGCTACCCTCTGTAGCAGCAATGCAAGAGAAGATGGTATATTCTAACATTATTGTAAAAAAGGGTATGCGGTATAATTAAGCACCATAAGAGCAGAGAAAATTCATGGAGAACGAAGGGTAGATTCCTTTAATTGTTGCTGTATTTTTGGGCTTCCACTTCTAAAAAAATTTAATGAAATAATGAAGAATATATGAAGTGAAACAATAAATTATGTTCAGTGTCCAAATCTGAATTGAGGCTATTATTTCTGTAACTGTAGTCATAATTTTTGCTAATTACAGTTTTCCACAACTAACTGTATCACAGTATAACTACTGAAATGTCAGTTAATATTTGGAAAGAGTAACTTTTCTCAAAGGTGGAACACCAGTGACTCATCAAGACCCATGTTTAAAGTAGGTCCATATTGACACAGATTTCATATATACTAATGAATAAAAGACCAAATATTCGTGGAAAGGTCTAACATAGGAACAAGAGCCTACACAAAGACATACAGCATTTAACTGTGTAGCTAGTTAGACAATTATACTGCTATAGTTAAAGCCATGAGGCTAAGCTGTTGTGGAAGTTTTCTGAGCAGCAGTTCCTTGGTGCTGAGGATCTGGACTGGTAGGTGTGCTGTGATGCCTCCTCATTTTCAACCTATATACTTTATTTCTTTGCATATCCAACCCTCAAGAAGCTGCTCTCTTACAATACAACACTCTGGGACACTCATTTTCCACAGCTGTGGAAATTTTGACTACATCCCATTAAGTATTACACACTTTTTTTTTTTCAGAAATACACATGGCAGAGACATACAGATGATTTAACTGCACCTTTGGATGGCAACTGTTTCTTACACTGACACCTGAAAGGCTTTCTGTGTCACTGCTTGCTTAGTGCACTCTGAAACCAATACACAAATTGTCAGTATCGCACAACATCAACTCAGTTTCCCTGAACAGCCTTCAAGACATCCAGTTCAGAGGTCTCTCTCCTTCTCTGCACGTTCCTTGCAACAACACTCTTAATCCTTAATCGGCCTACCATTAATAGCACTCACTACATCTGCTTGCCTTCATTTCTGCTCATGCAGAACTATGGTGCCAAGGTTATGAATAAGAAATACACAGATCCTCACTTTCTCTTCCTTCCTGCACATAATGCCAGTCACTTGTATCTCCTTCACCCCTTACCACATATGGTTCTCCTAATAACAATTTTCACACAAACATAGTGTCCAAAAGAAATTCCTGCATAGTCTTCATGGCTACATAAAAGGCCTCTCCCCCAAACACTTTGTCTTCAGTTATGTATCAATACCACCAAGATGTATAGTGCTATGGGAGTGGAATCTCTGCCTCATTTGTTCTCCCAGCTGCTCCTATTACTAAATTCTCTAGAAGACAGGCTACCAATGTTGCTCATGTTTTAACTTACTTGCTGCTTCTGGACAGCCAACAAGTGCTGAGCATATTCCCCTCATTACCTCTAGCGCTTTTCCTGAATCAGACAATTGCAAAGGCAAAAGTAAGTATTGACCTTTTGAAGTGACACTGTCACTTCTATTTGTAGTGCCTAGTCTACACAATTCATGTCAGCCCTCCTGTGCAATGGTCTGATTCAGGAAAAAGCCAATGAACACACCTGCAGTGGTTTGAATATGCAATAGACTAACTAACAGTCCTAAAAAACCTGCTAAAGAATTTTGCCTCCCAGTGCATGTGTTTAGCAGTGGGGTTCTTTCAGTTGGTACAATTAATAAGCAGACTATAGGTCACTTAATTCTTAAACGATGTAATGATGACCCTTCAGTCTTCAGAGACAACCAGCATTGACAAGGACTAAGTGTATGTCAGAGAAGACTTGGTAGAACCAGACTTTAGTACAGATACCTAATCTCTCCTAAAATAATAACTGGTAATAATTTGATGTCATTTAATAGCAACTTGATGTGGTTTATAGTAAATTCAACCTTTTTATGTTGATCCATTACATTTGTCTCACTATGCAAAAATCACAGTATTACATAAACCTTTTCACCATACAATCCTTTTCAGATCAGCACTCTACACCACAGGCTTTTCAGACATTAAATAATTTTAAAGCTGTTCTTTCCTCTCTGTAGATTTAAGCTACTTTTCTTTATTTTAATAATTACAAAGAAATTTTGAACTTTTTAATGGTGTGCCTCTATTCTTTTATAGAAGAATTAATTCCTGGCTACAGTAGCTCTCTGAGAAAAGTACCAAATTAATACAATGACTTCTGAGAAAAAAAAGGCATTAACTGAAAATAGATTAAATTTTGAGAATTGAATTTTGGTTATACTTAGGATTTTTCCTCTTTTTAGCCATTTAACAAGAATAGTTTTCTTAAATGAAAGCATAACCCCACCCTATGTTCCAACTAGGGGATGAAAACCAAACCACATCTAACAATACTCACATCAAAATTGGGATTTATACAATCAACTTCAGAATGTTAGACGTATCAGTTGCAAAATTTAAAAATCTGCCAAAAATGCTGGGCCTTTTTCCTACATTATGAGCAATAACTAAAGAGCCCAAAATTTAATCTCCAGTTTCATTTCATCTCGTCTTCAAACTACTGACACTTGCATGAAGTAAAACAGTATGACTGCTCAGTGAGGGGAAAAAAGACAGGAGCTACTCCTTTATTCCACTTTGGCTAGCTAAGTTACAGCTGGACTTTGCAGCACAGTACTTAGACTGGAATTCAGGTTTATCTGCATTAGGATCCTTGATAGCTACAGAATGTAAACAACCTCTGACTGAACTGTCTGCAAAATGCTTGGAAATAGAAAGGAATGGAATTTATCATTTGTAAAATCACACGGTTTTGTCTGTAAAAGCTGTCACAGACTGAGTGAACACAAAATCACCTTGTTTATTATCAGTTTTTCTGAGACTGATCACTGACAGAAAGCAACACTAATTTACTTACATTTTAATTAAGAATCTGCAGGCCTTAAAAGTATTATTTCTCCTCTGTGGTTAAGTATGAGCAATGCATGCAGGTTTATGCCAAAAAAAGGAGAACCATAACGAGCAATACTGCAATTACAATGTCTTTTATTCTTGGAAACTCATACAGGTCACATTGAAATGTGAGGGCATGAGGGCATATACTAGTGTGGATGTATTATTTCTTTATTTTTCAGATTTGAAAAGTATTATGAAGACTTTCAATGTTCAACATACAGCACAGCTAGAACAACACCCCACGCCATGATTCAGAAAGCAATGAAAAACAATCCAGTGTTTGCAATGATATATTAAACACTTGGTGCCAGCTATCCAAAGTCAGAATACCCCCATAGCTTTCTGAAATATTTGAACTTTTCCAAGTTTGTCTGGGAAGTACCATATGCTAATATACTCTCAAAACCACAGAGATTTTAGTGCCTACACCAATGGAATATGCAAGCACAGTGAAAAAACCCTAAGAGGCTATCTTCATGTGGGAGACATAAACAATGAGATAACAAAGAAGCAATACTGCTGTGAGATACAAATTAGTAACTAAGAGCAACATTTTATTGACTTTGAGAGCACTGTAGGAGTTGCTCAACATCTGAAAGATACATTGGATAACAACGTGTCCTCTCAGGGATGGGCCGGCAGTGAACTAGATGAGAACAACTGGGTTTGAGTTTTG